TTCAGTGGCTAGTGATTATGATTTGATTCGAATATTTAGGTGTCCAGCTTACTATCATGTGAATGATGGGAAATTGAATCTGAGGGCTAGAAAAGCAATCTTTGTGGATTTTAGAGATGGAGTTAAATGCTTCAAATTATGGGATCCAGAAGACTAGAAGATGATCATTAGCAGAGATGTTACTTTTGATGAGGCTTACATGACGAGGCCTCTGATTCCTCAGCAGGTGAAGGAAGGCCAGACTAGTGGGGTATCACAGGTGGTGGAGGATGATGTGACTCCACTGACTTCAAATAACACCATATCCATTGAAGTTCCTACAGAGATGACACTAGGAGGAGATGATAAGACAGATGAGCAGGTGGAGGATACAGCTAAGGTTGGAACTCAGGAACAAGGTCATAGGGTCATGCTCAGGAGTCTATTGTAGCTAATAGACCAAGAAGAATCTTTCGTCGGCCGGCTAGATATGATGATGTGATGATTGCATATGCTTTGTCAGTAGAGGTCATTGATGATTTGGTTTCTTCTACATATAAGGAAGCATAATTAAGCTTTGATTCAATCAGGTGGAGGAAAGCTATGGAGGAGGAGATGCATTCTCTTCAGAAAAATAAAACTTAAAAACTTACAAAATTACCAAATGGCAAGAAAGCAATTGGATGATGCAAGTGAGTGTATGCAAAGAAAGAAGGATCTTCTTATGGGGACATTCGATACAAAGCCAGATTGGTTGCCAAAGGGTATGCCCAACTTGATGGCATTGATTACAAAGAGGTATTCTCACCTGTTATAAAGCATTCGTCAATAAGAATACTATAGCATTGGTAACACTGCTGGATTTGGATTTGGTCCAAATGGATGTAAAAACAACCTTTCCACATGAAGATTTAGAAGAGGAGATCTATATACCACAACCAATGGGTTTTAAAGCTACAGGTAAGGATGATTTGGTATGTAAACTGAAAAATCTCTTTATGGATTGAAGCAATTACCGTGACAATGATACAAGAGATTCGACCGTTTTATGATTGACCAAGGGTACATGAGAAGCCTATATCACTCGTGTGTGTACATGCAAAAGCTACGAGATGATGAGTATATTTATTTATTGTTATATGTTGACGATATGCTCATTGCTTCCAGGAATTCTTCAGCTATTAGGAAGTTAAAAAAGGAGTTGTCATCCGAATTTGAGATGAAGGATCTTAGATAAGCAAAGAAGATATTGGGTATGAAAATTGAGAGAGACAGGGTGAAGGGGAGGTTAAAGTTAACTCAGAGGATATACTTGCAGAAGATGCTGAAGAAATTCAGTTTTGATGGCAATGTTAAGATGGTGAGTACTCCATTAGCTTCCCACTTTAATCTATTAGTTAAGATGTCACCTGTTTTAGTTAAGGACCGTGAATACATGTCCAAAGTTCTTTATGCTAATGTTGTGGGTAGTTTGATGTATACAATGGTGTGTACAAGACCATATTTGTCACAGGCCATGAGCATGGTGTCTAGGTACATGCACGACCCCAGGAAGGGTCATTGGGAGGTCGTGAAGTGGATCCTACGGTATATCAAAGGTACCGTGGATGTTAGTTTGGTGTTTGAGAAGAATGGAAGAAATGAGCAGGATTGTGTTGGATATGTGGATTCTGATTATGCTAGGGATCTTGACAAGCGTCGGTCTACTATTGGATATGTGTTTACACTAACAGGAGCACCGGTGTGTTAAAGATGTACACTTTAGTATACATTGGCTCTTTTTACTACGGAGGTAGAGTATATGGCGTTGATTGAAGCTGTGAAGGAATCTTTGTGGTTACGGGGTTATTGAATGACTTAGGGATTGCACAGGATACCATCAGGGTAAAGTATAATAGTATGTCAGCTATTTATTTGGCAAAGAACTAGGTGTATCATGCCTGAAAAAAGCACATTGATATCTGATTCTATTTTGTGCGAGATGCATGTATTGGATGATGGAGACATTATATTAGAGAAGATGCACACAAAGGACAATCCGACAGATGTGTTGACCAAAGTTATCATTGGGGTGAAATTTAGACATTGTTTGGAGTTGTTGAACATTCTTCATTGTTGATGGCCTTTAGAGGCCATTTGGGTAAACTATGTAAGACTTGATTCCTTGGGCAAGAGGATACATAGGCAGTCAGTTTGATGCAGCCAGCTTGATGAGTTGATATTGACATGATGAAGATTGTTAGAGTTCTCATTTGGGTTCCCGACTTATTGTGGATTGAGTCTATTGTTGTGGATTGAGTCCACTTCGTATTGGACGTAACAAGTGGGATGTTTGGTATCGGGTCGGCTCAGTTTTATTGGAAACTTTGCCGAGGTGAAGAATTAAGGAAAAACCCAGAAAAACCTGTTTTTAGTGTCATGAGTCGACTCAAGCCAGTCGTAAGTCGACTCATGTCTGTCATGAGTCGACTCATGAATTGATGAGTTGACTCATGAAATACCTTGGAATTGTGATTTCTTTTCTGCTCAGTCGACTGATAGGTGATCAGTCGACTGATGAGTTCGTTCAATCGACTGATGATCTGATCAGTCAACTGATAACGGGTTTCTGGGCTATTTTTTGTTTCTTGTTTGGTTTGGGATTGGGTGTTTGTATAAATACAAACACATTTTTAGAGTGTCTTAAGGAGAGTATTAGCAGCCTTTTGAGCACTTTAAGTGGGAGAATTTGTGAGGGACTTGAGAGTTTTGATTTTGGGTTATATTTGTGAGATTATTGAGTGACTGTAATCTCTATTTGCACACACTCTCTCTTTATTAGTGAAATCTATCCCCTCTTTGCTCCGTGGACGTAGGCACATTGCTGAACCACGTAAATTTGGTGTCTTGCTTGTGTGGTTCTTGTTTTGGTTGTTGATTTGTTCTCCTATCTTGTTTGTGTTTTCTATTCCGCTGCGCACATCATCAGTCCTGTCATCAGCTCATCCTTGGGAGGGAGCAAGGATCTTGTAGAGATTGAAGGATAACTGAGACGGATTTGTGATGCGGGTCTGCTTGTTGGGTGAGTGCGGCTCAGACCCGCTAAGAAAAATGGGTCGACATGGGTACCTTACCGCTAGCAACAGACCTGTTGGAGTGCTTGCACAAAGGCGCCACTTGACTTTCTAGTGCAACATGACTACATGATTGTACCCCGGCCCGTCTTCTAAAATATAATTATTTAGCTTCAAATTATTCATGCCACACTAAACTAAAAAGAAGAAATTATCAAATAAATTTTGTTTTAGACTTACTGTTTCTGATTAAATTTCTAACCGATTGCAGAATGCAACATACGATTAGTGGGCTGAGATGGTACCAGTACTGGTGAGATTTTGCAAACTAAATGGTTTCGTATCATGTAAAACTGGCATGGATTGACTTTTCTATCATCTAAGTTTGTTGATGATTATCTTCAATCAGCGTTTTTTTGCAAGTATATTACTTGTTTAATTGAAATTTTAATTAAAATGAGATGTTAGTTTTATATTTAATCAATTAATTTATACTACACCTCATTTTTTACAGTCGAATCATTTCTATTGTTATATGTTTATTTTGCTAGTATTGATGTGATGGTATAGAGCTCAATCGATGCTGCAATGTTGATGGGCATGCTGAACATATATTTTTCCTGGCAAGTTTGTGTTGGCTTCCAGTCATTCATGAATTATTAGTGAATTGCAAAAGAAATACTATTAATTTTTATTTCTTATGTTATTTTGTTGATTTTGCTTGCTGTTTCAGCATTCCTTGTATGCTCAAATGTTTCTGTGAATTCTTTTTGAATTTTTCTTTCTGAGAGCTAGTACTTTGCTACCATTTCATTGGCAGGTCTTTACATGTTACTACTTTGATCGATCTGTATAGGTTCAAACTGTTTAATTTCACCGAGTTCTTTTAGACATCTTTCCTAAGTTCATATTGGTTGCAATATTTAGTTGGCATCTGAATTTCTTTACCATGTTCATGCCTGGCTTCTAACTGAAGTAAATGTTGCAGAAAATGTTGTGGTGGTACCTTCTGTTCCTTGTTCACCATCAGCTTTATGAATGCTGTGAAATTTACTAGAAGCTCTCAAACTTTGGTAAGATTCTCCTTTTTTTTATTCTGGAGAATTCTATTCAATATTTTCTCAGCAGCATGTGACTTTTGCAATGATGAGCATCATCCATATACGCTACATAAAACATTGGAGACAACAACCCTTAACTGTCTGCATTTGTTTCAAATGTTGGTATGTACCAATGTTTTTAGAGAAAACATTGGGAATTTTGCCAACGTTTTTGTCTAATTAAAACTATGGGAATTCATCATCCCCTCTAAAAGGCTCATCCCCTTTTTAGACCCATATGGTGTAAGTAATTAGATTTTCAGTGCTTTAAAAGAGTAAACTACCTAGTAACTAATTGTTTAAATCATCAGTGCAAGTCGACGACCAAGTGTAGCCTTAAAAAAATGTGTAAGCTGTGGGCCTTGCAACACTCATTGATTTCAAAAGTGCTATATGTTAGCCTAACCCATTCTAAGTTCTGCAACGATTTTTTGTGCAGTGCTGACGTTTTCAACAAAACGTTGATGCCCACAGTTCCCATTCCAACATTTTTTGAAAATGTTGTTGCCTCGAATAACATCATAACGTTGTTGGATGCCATTATAAAAGTTGTAACTTACTAAGTATTTTGTAGTGATATAAAATAAGTGTGACGTACTAAATAAAATTTGAAGACCATGTGTTTCATTTCAATTTTTAGAAAGCAAACTCAAGTCTTATAAGTTTCTTTCATATCCAAGGAATGCTTCGATAATATAGTTACTTTATTGGATTCTTAAGGAGAAAAATGACAGATTAGCAATTGTTAGATGTAGTGGAGTGCACGAAAAATTCTTCCCTATCTGCAAGCTAAGAATCTTATTCTCTTTCCTCCAACTCCACATATTTATTGTTTATTACTGCCAGATGCCAAAACTACGCATCATTATCTTGTCTCTCGATCATTACACATTTACAGCCGATACTTTTTTGTTTGAGTCTCCACAACAAGATGTTCAGAGAATTTATTAACCACAAAAATAAATACCGATACACATGAAAAGAAAGATATCAAAAGAAGAAAAAGACTAATTTTGCATATTGAATCAAGGGACCACGTTGCTGTGAGTCGTCGATCATCTACTCAAGCGAAAGAAGAGATGATCATACAATCACAGGTGACAAAAGAGTGACTGCATTGGTTGAGTATGTTCTGAAATTAACACTCTCGTTCTGTTCGTTCCAAATGTAGGAGCAGCTGACAAGCACAACACAACCTATGCTATCCTGCATGCGTTAGGGTTCTCATCACTGAACATAGACGAGACCTGGTTTCCATCGCTACCCTGGTTCTGATAATACCCATCGCCTCCTCGGTTCTGATAATACTCATCACCTCCTCGGTTGTGATAATACCCTTCATCTAGCCTATTCTGGTAGTACCCATCATCTACCGGGTTCTGATAGTATCCGCCGCCATTAGGTTCCACACTGCGGTATCTCACATCTTCTGCAGGAGCCCGGAGATAGCCATACTCCGTCACATGAGGCGATGGCCTATAGTTATTATAACTGTGAGTGACATAGTAAGGGGCCTCGTGCCCAATCTGGTGACCCATAGGAGGGTAGTCGTTCCAATGTTCTCTAATAACACGGCCATGGGGGTAGTGGTGCATCATATGGACTTGCTCTACATCTTTAGCCTCACTCTTGCTCGCTTCTTGATCTTCTTGTGATGGTTTAGAGCTCTGATCAGGGGCCGAGTTTTCTTGGGGTGGGGGCTCTTTTGGGGGATCAGTAGTCGGCTCCACCGGAGGAGCATCAGTTGACGACTGTGGGTTATTATCTTGTTTTGCTTCCGGTTCGGTGCTTGGTGGTGGATCAGAAGCGCTAGGCTCGGTGTGGGAACTTATGGTTGCTATCTTCCTCGTCTTCTTGATTGCTTGCACGAGGGTTTCAGGTGCAGCTTGCCCTACAACCGTCAACTTCTGTTGAGGACGATCAACGTAGACATTGTGTACACCTGTAGGATTCAGAGATAGGGGTTTTGGGAACGGTTTGGGTGAAGGAGAGATTTTGATTTTTTTCAGAGGCTAGAGCTAGGTTACCTTCGATGCTGCTGATTGCTTTCTTGATTCTCTGAACGCAGCCATTGCAGTCCATTCTGACATGCAGTTCAGTTACTCGAGCTTTCTGTTTTAGCACACCAATGTCTTGTTAGTTGATAGAATCTTATTTTCTACGATCAAAAAATTTGAAAGAAGGCAAGTGCTCAACATAAGTTAAATATGAAAGAATAGGATTTATGTAGTTGACCCAAAAAATTTTCAGATAAAAGATTAGTTTAACATACCTCCATGTCCGCAGCCATTTCCTGATCAGGAAATAGACCGCGCGTGCAAATTCCTTAAGGTTCTTAGAAGCTTGCCGAGGGACGAACTGAGAACAAAAGCCTGCGCGTTAATTTGTACTCGGAGGAATGGAATATTTATGGAGCCAAAAGTTGAATGGGCACAAAAGGAATCTTTGGGCGCATGGAGGTGAAAAACATGATGGGGGGAGGTCCCTTGAAAGAAGCCATCTCTTCTATTCTCCTCTACTTTAACTCTTTAAGTCAGTATCTAAGTTTTGGAGCTTTGCATTTTAATCAAGGGAACTTACTTTATGTTTTTGCTGGGGCTATGATAAAAAGCGTGATGAGAATATCCCAGCCGACCAGAGGAAAATTAAAGTGGTTTTTGTGGTAGAAAAAGAGTAGAGGTACTTTTGATGAAGGATATCCATTAATCAAGAATCCCATCCAGAGAGGAGAAAGAGAAATATGGCTCTTGTTATAGGACAAGAGAGGTCCCGTGAGAGATGTGCATGGAAGATATTTTTCTCCCTCATTATGTATCTTGTAATATTTGTTCCTCTACGTTTAAGATTCCCTTACCTGTATACAAGGAGGAAAACAAGCACCTACGGGCTTCTATGCGCATCTCAGTCTCAGGTTGTTCTATTTCTGTATCCACTTCATCTAGGATGCATCTTGATGTCTAAGAATCTTAATGAAGTGCCCTTGTTAGTTAGCAAGTACAAGAACACATGATGATAAAAGCCTAAAACATGAAATGAATTATTATGAGGTTACATTTAAAAAAAAAAAGTGTTCCTTGATTCGCAGGGTGGTTGTGGCTTATCTAAGAAAATGTGTGATTTTGCTTTTTATAGATATTTCATGAATCTTCTCTGTATTGTAATCCAGTCCAGTCTAACTATACGAATGAGATGGTGAACTATTGACGTATATTCATCTTAGATATTGCTTAGATTGAGCACACAATTTGTTGCTACCATTAGTAATTAAATGTATTATGCTTTCATCTATTTATTTTCCATTAGGGATCATACTATATGAGTCTCTACATCTCTCTATACGTAATTGTTTTATTATATATTCTTAATCAAACACTGGAACTTAGGCATGTAATTTCTCTAGAATGGGGTACTTGTAGATACACTTTATACATGTATAACAAGGGTTAGTCCCTTATCGTCAATAATCTTTTTCGTCAGCATTTAGACTTCCTAATGTCCAAACAAACTTATATATATGTTATTTATACTTTCCGTGTGGGTAGCACATGTTACCAATATATTGCAGATAGGTATCCAATATTATAGTGTGTTACAGAGAAATCTGTATTTTCCTATAGGTATTGAACATATACAGATGTACATATACAAAATAATGAAGGGATAATTATATTAGAATATCAAAGTCTCTAATTGCGCAAAAAAAAAAGAGTAATAAGTGACCAACCAACAAGAGTTGTATGTGCAATTAACCCAAAAACATCCAATTGTGATTCCTGAGAGATGAAAAGGATATGTGAGCACAAAGTCCTTTCTCCAACAGAGGAGGTAATTAGATGCCAATTGAAGTGCGGTGGGACTCTGAAAGAATGACTGTTCTGTCTGTATTTGATCGCCTGTCATTGGCCAGTGAATCATTTGGGAACCATGTCAACCCCAAAGTACGTAAGCTCCCATCTTCTACATCCGTTATTGCAAGAGCTTTCCTTTTCTGGGTATGGGCCTTCCGCGATAGATAGCGACATAGCCAGCTCCTTGAAGATTTTAGCGATCGATAAGACTCAAAAGGTGCTTTCCTTTTTAGGACAATGCACAGTTCACACTGGCTTAGGACAACTTCACAGGATGATCGTCCTTCGCTGGTGGAGAAACTTTATGGAAAATGTGGGATATTAATTGGTGGTATGGGTGGAAACTTTTTGAGATATTTTCAACATTTTACTGTCAAGACTTAGCTTTGTGTGAAAATGAATCAATATTTATGTGACGCCCTTGTCCATGGTCAAATGGAGAAACTTCGATAACCTTTGTTATTGATCCCATATTGATGATAAATCGGTCAGGACCCACTTCCATCATTGATTACAGTATTTTGGGACTCTGGACATTAGAATAATCGACTACGTCTGTTGTTCATATTTGGGATCGATTGTGTCATCCCTGCCTCTTACTTATATATCTGGAATAGATGGGATGCATTAGCGTTTTATATTTTGTCTGATTGTACAATTATTTATATTTTTTGATATCACAGTATTGTCCTACACCAGAGTAGAGGATCATATTGAATAAAGCTAGATTTCCGTCTAAATTGAATATCCCTAACAGAATTCTGTCTAGGATGTTGGTCTAGTAAGTTTTAGTCGAGAATGCGGCATTCTAGATGGAATTCCGTCTAGAAAAACCATTCTAGACGGAAACACATCCTAGACGGAACAAAATTCCATCTAGAATATTTCTAGACGGAAAAGATAACCGTCTAAGATAATTCTAGACAGAAATTTCCATCTAGGATAGACGGAAATTCCGTCTAGGATAACACATAAACATCATAGACGGAAATTCCATCTAGGATGTCATCCTAGACGAAATTTCTATCTAAGACGGAATTTCTGTCTAGGATGCTACAATAGTTTTTTTTTTTAAGAATCTACTTTGCACGGCATATAATCTCACATGTACAATGCACAATATTGCACAACACCAAATCACATTCATATCCAACACAATCTAATTATATTCTAATATAAAATCCAATTATATTCAAATAATACATTCACCAAAATACAAGAGCGATACATAAATTATTTACATAGATAATAACTAATTTTCTATTTATATATTTATTTACAATTGGAACGAAATGAGATATATTTATAATCTTTTTACATTCTTCTATCATCTACTCCATTGCTTGTGATATCCTACCCTTTCTCAAAGGCTTCACAAACACGGATGTTCAGCTGCTTAAATTCCATTGCTTGTCTGTTCAATTTGTAATAGTTCTCCTCTTATAAAGTAAACATGTGAACAATTCATATATTTTAAAAACAAACAAACAAATAAATAAATAAATTGTAATGGAGCAACTCACTAAATATAATTGTAGCTCTCATCTGATAGTGTTGAATCTGCAGATCCCGTTGCAGAAATACAGTTATTGAAATGATTAAATGACAGACCGTTGACCTGGAAAGAAAGACACAGTTGTAAGACCATCTCCAACCGAGCACCATTTTGAGGCAAAACTGGATTTTGCCGCTACGAGAGGTCTCCAACCCAGCGTCATTTTGGGCGCCATTTTAACGGTGAAGAACAGCGCGACGCCTATGGCGTCGCGCTGTTCATCACCGCATTACTGTTCATTTATTTTTTTTTCAAATTTTTTTTACCTCATACTTTTATGTATTTACAATTTGACCCCAATTGTTTTATTAAATGTATAAAACAACCCCAATAATATTTAAATTTTATAATTTTACCCCAATTGTATAATTTGGACAAAATAAATTATTTTTTAAAAATAAAAATAATGCTAAAATTTAAAAGACATTATTATTAATTATAATATTAAAATCTAGACATTAAGTAAAGTCCCATGAAATATAAAGAGCAATCCTAATACACGTTTGGATCAGCAATGGAATTCAAATCTTTTATTATAATTTTCCATTCATCTCTATCTTTTTTCATAGCTATCTTTTCTCGTTCGATATCAAATGCTACTTGCATGTCCAAGCTCGCCTTGTCTAACCTGTCTATAAGTCGGTTGTTGGAGGTCTCGATGGATTCCACTACGCTTGACTCATGATCATCATTTTTTCTTTTCAATTTGGCTTTTTTTTACCCCAATAGGTCGTTCAGATGGAGTAAATGATGACAGTCCAGGAGATGTTGATATAGGAGATTCCGGAGTGGGATTATCTAATTGTGACGAGTCGAAGTTCACACTTTGGGGTTGTCTTCGACCAACTTGTCTTGCTGTGGGAACATCATCTTTAAATTTTTCGAAATTTTTAACCATATTCCAGACATGATCAAATTTGAAACCTTTTTTGTACTTTGGTTCTTGCATAAATAACATCTTTGCTCGAACTAACTGCAAATTGTAATGAACATCAAGTTATGTTTTTCAACAATAATAATAAATTTTAAATGATAATTAATAAAATACTTACAATATCTTCATCTGAAGCACCACTTGGATTCAGATTCTCTACTTGTCTCAAGCACGCATTCAATTTCCTTACTTCATTACTTATGATTTCCATTCGAGAACGAATTGATCGGCTCGTACGCATCTCAAAATGCTGATCTCGAAGTTCATTGTATTTGTCCTCCACACGAGACCAAAATGCATCTCGAGACTGGTTTCTACCGATAATAGGGTCTTGAGAAATATCCAAGAATACTTGACAAAGGAGCACATCTTCAGTAATAGTGTATCCAGATGATCGAACAGACTTTTCTTTTGTAAAAAGCGGTTGGTTTGGAGATTAGAAATACTTTGAAGAAATACTTCGAATTGGGTGGTTTGAAGTAGAAACCGTGAATGTTATTTATAGCCAATCCAAATTTGTTTTTTTTGTTTGAATTTGAATTTGTCGGTGGTCAACATTTGAAATTGAATCGTTGTGGACAAACTGATCAGCTTTACACATTGTCCAACGTTGTCGGTGGGAATCATTTTTTGAAAACTAATCAGCTTTACACATTGTCCAACGTATACACAGCTCAGCTTTCCTTGAATTGTGTGAAAGCTTTGTACGAGTGGGAATTATTTTTTAAAAACTGATCAGCTTTACACATTGTCCAACGTATACACAGGTCAGCTTTCTTTGAATTGTGTGAAAGCTTTGTACGAGTGGGAATCATTTTTTTGAAAACTGGTCAGCTTTACACATTGTCCAACGTATACACAGCTCAGCAAAGTTTTATAAATAGCATACTAGATTAGGTACATCCACACAATTATTCGTTGTTGTGTTAAAATTATTATTCTCTATTTCTGCATACCTCAATCATTCTTTTCTTACTCCAAAAATGAATTTCGATGTTGGAGGTCCATCATATTTATCATCATCTTCATCTTCGGATGATGATAATTTTCTGACCAATATCATTGCAGAGATTGATGAAACCGAAGAAGTAATTTGTGAGTACATCAACAACAACATGATCATCGCTAACAATTTACGTTAACAAAACTACCAACCGATCCATGGTGGCTCGACTCTCGGTTATGCAGTGATTAACCGCGATCGAGAAACTGCGCATCAGAATTTGGTCATAGATTACTTTGTCGATAATCCACGTTTTGGAGAAGATATGTTTCGTCGTCGATATCGGAGTCAAGAAGTTTGCTCATTCGTATTGTTGATGCAGTGAAAGATCATGACCATTATTTCCAACGACGAAGTGATGGACTTAGTAGAATGGGATTATCACCATTACAGAAAGTAACAGCTGTTTTCCACATGTTGGCATACGGTCTACCAGCTGATGCTACGAACGAATACGTTAAAATAGGTGAGTTAACAACAATTGAAAGTATGACAAGATTTTGTCGTGCTATGGTGGAGATATTCGCAGAGCGGTATCTACGAACACCTAACGCTAACGATATTGCTAGGCTATTCTATATTGGTAAAAAACATGGTTTTTCAGGAATGTTAGGAAGTCTTGATTGTATGCATTGGAAATGGAAAAATTGTCCAACAACATGGTCTGGGCAATACACAGGACGTAGTGGGTCACCAACTATTATCCTTGAAGCTGTGGCAGATTATGATCTTTGGATATGGCACGCATATTTTGGTATGCCAGGCACCAATAATGATATCAATGTGCTGGAGTCATCTAATTTTTTCTCTAACCTAGCTCAAGGTATTGCTCCTCCCGCTCAATATGTTATTCAAGGAAAAGAGTATAATATGGATTATTATTTAGCTGATGGTATATATCCAAAATGGGCTACTATTGTACAAACAATCCAACAGCCACAAGGTAGAAAGAAAAAATATTTTGCCATGAAACAGGAAGTATGTAGAAAAGATGTAGAACGTGCGTTCGGAGTTCTCTAATCACGATTTGCAATTGTGGCAGGATCAGCACGTTTTTGAAAAAAACATGTATTACATGACATAATGACTGCATGCATTATTATGCACAATATGATAATCGAGGATGAACGTGACCTTTATGCACCAATTCAAGAAGTGAGGGAAGCACCAACACCAGAAGTTGATATGGTAGCAGATGAAACTACAAGATTTACTCAATTTATTGCACGTTACGGAAAAATCAAGGATAAAGATGCCCATATTGCGCTTCGTAATGCATTGATAGATCATCTATGGGAGGAATACACTAATTCAGATAGTTAAGTGCATACTAAATTTGTAATTTTTACATTGTTGTTAATGTTTAATTATTTCCTTGTATTTTATTTCCTGTTGTGTTCTTGAATGTAATATTTTGGCAATATCAATAATAAAAATATAATATTTTAGCAATCAAGTTATTTTAATTAATAAAATAATATTTTATTGTTTTATTAGTTTAATTTTTAAATAATAAATCATTTTGTTTGGAAAATATGTGAAAAAATAAAATTTGATATGTGGGGTTAATTGTTGAAATAGTTAAAAATATAGGGAATAAAAAATAATAATATAAAAGTAGATAAAAAGAAAGATACTAAGAATATTCATTTTTGGTGGAAAAAAATAGTGCAGTGGGTTGGAGATGAATTACTGTTAGATGTGATTTTTGCACCATTTTGGTGCAAAATTTGCACCATTTTGGTGCGATGGGTTGGAGATGCCCTAAGGCATTATATTAATAGTGTAAGAAAAACAAGTTGTACAGACCCAATCTGAAACTGATATGAAGGCATTATAGTAAGGTTTTGTTTTGTTCGTAAAGGATGGACCTTCTTTGTGAACTTGAGTGGGTACAACGTACTTAGGGGGACGTGGGGAGGACACGAGAATTCGTGCCCATGCTCTCTGCTTTCCCCCCATGCTAAGAGTGGGTACAAGCATGGCACGTTGCCTCCCCCATACTCCACCAAGCTCATTTTGAGCTGGTTCCAGCAATGCACATGGGAGCATTTCTACTATAAATAGGAGAGGTTGTGAGATGAAATTGGGGTGGGGAAAAATAAGTGGGTTGTGTGGAGTTCTTTTGGGAGAAAAGAAAGAGAGGAAGAGAGAACTTGTATAAGTTTGGTATTTTTCCTTTATAGTGAAACCCCCTCCCGTGGACGTAGGCTAGTTAGCCGAACCACGTAAATCTCATGTTTGTATTTGTCTTATCTGTGAGTTGCCATAGCTTGTAGGTTCCCTCGACATTTCAGTCCTAGAACTGATGAGAGGAAGAGTGTATATTTTACTTTGATGAAATATATCACTTTTAATTCTTGTTTCCTTTGAGAAATAAGAATTTCACCATCTATTCTAATTTCCTTTGAGAAACAAGAATATAGAGGTTGACTTGTGCTTTTGTGACAACGAAAGCCAGGGCTATCTCTCAGGTGATATCGCTTCCGCGGCGTGAGAGCGTGACTCTGCGCCCAACAATTGGTATCAGAGCCCTTATTTAGATTGGCGGTGGTTGAGCTACTGATCTGAGGTGATGGTTGATTATTGTGTGGTAAAACACAAGGTATTTGTTGAAATTCCTGAGAGAAGCGGACAAGCGGAAAATGGCAACTACAAGTAAAACAATTAAAGTTAGAAAGTACGAGATTGAAAAATTCAATGGGAAAAATGATTTTTTTCTATTAGAGGATGTAGATGAAAAATTCGTTGATTTCGCAGAAATTGCACAAAGCTTTGGTGGGAAAAGAGAAGAAGCACAAGGACATATCTGATGAGGATTGGGAGGAGCTGGATCTGGAAGCACGAGTGTCGATTATCCTTTGCCTTAAAAGGGATGTAGCTTTCTTGGTGGACGGGGAGGAAATGGCTGCGGGCGTATGGTTAAAGTTAGAGAGCACCTTCATGACGAAGAGTCTAACGAACCGGATCTATTTGAAATCCAAATTGTATACTTGCAAGATGGAGGAGGGTTCATCAATCCGGGAATACATCAACAAGTTCGATAGGATCTTATCGGATTTGAAAGACATTGAGGTGACAGTGGAAGATGAGGATCAGACACTTCTACTACTTCTATCTCTGTCGAAATCTTATGAGAATCTGGTTCAAACACTGATGCTTATGAGCGACAGTTTGTCGATGGATGAGACTAGAACGACGCTTCTAGCGGATGATCTTCGAAAAATTACAACTAGTGATATGACTACTGGTGGTAACAAAGAACAAGCGTAGGGATTGTTTGCCAGAGGAAGAGGCAATGAGCGAGGAAAAGGCAAGGGAGGAAAGTCTAGATCTAAATCGAGACCTCTTGCGGGACGAGCGTGTTTTAAATGCGGTGAAATTGGGCATTTTAAGGTCGATTGTCCTAACAAGAGGGTAGGTGGGAAGAAGAACAACAACAAGACTGAAAGATGAGAAGGCAAGGAAGAGGCGAGCTACGCTTCAGGGAAAGGGAGCGATAAGGAATGTTATGTCGTCACGGGTGGCGAGGATACCTCCGAGAAGTGGATACTTGATTCTGGTTGCTCTTACTATATGTGTTCAAATAGAAAGTGGTTTACTACCTACAGGAGCATTGATGGTGGAACCATATTGATAGAGAACAACCATGCTTGTAAAACGGTGGGGCTAGGCGATATCAAAATCAAGATGCATGATGGAGTTGTTCGAACCTTGACGGATGTAAGGCACGTTCCTGACTTACGGAAGAATCTTATTTCAGTTGGTGCTTTGGACTCCGGGGGTTGCAAGATTGTAACAGAGAACGGAGTAAAGAGGGTTGTTCGAGGTTCCCTAACAGTAATGAAGGGTGTTCGTCATGGTAATCTATATACTCTCTCGGGTACGACGGTGACGGGAAATGCAGCAGTTGGAGCTGAAGGAAGTGGTGGAGACCTATGTGAGCACACACGGTTATGGCATAGGCGGCTTGGGCACATGTCAGAGAAGGGTCTGGATCTGCTTGGTAAAGAATGTTTGCTAAAGAATATGAAGAAACATTGCATGGATTTTTACGAGGATTGTGTGTATGGAAAGACACACAGGGTCTAGTTTCTGAGGAGCAAGCACAAGAGCAGAGGGATTCTAGATTATGTGCACACAGATGTTTAGGGTCCGGCTTCGACAACTTCCAAAGGTGGTTCTAGATATTTTGTCTCATTCATAGATGATCATTCTAGGTATGCTTGGATTTTTTTTCTGAAACATAAGAATGAGGTATTTGAGACATTCAAGAAGTGGAAGGCGATGGTTGAGAACAGGACAAGCAAGAAATTAAAGACACTGAGATCTGATAACGGTACAGAGTATACAGACGGTACTTTCAAGGAGTTCTGTGATCAGGAGTGGATTGCCAGACACTGGACAGTAAGATCTACACCATAGCAGAATGGGGTCGCGGAGAGACTGAACCGAACACTGCAGGAGAAAGAAGTGAGTATGCGATCATATGCGGGTTTGGGTAAAGAATGGTGGGCAGAGTCGATTGCTACAGCTTGCTATATAGTGAATCGATCACCACATTCGACATTAGACGGTGATACACCCTATCGGGTGTGGTCAGGGGAGCATATAGATTATGAGAGGCTCCGGATTTTTGTGTGTACCGCCTACTATCACGTCAACGAGGGAAAGCTTGACGCGAGGGCCAAGAAGGAAATTTTCTTGGGGTATGCAAAGGGCGTAAAAGGCTACCGCCTTTGGTGTACAGAAGATTCGAAGTTCGTAATCAGCAGGGATGTTACCTTTGATGAGAAGTCCATGATTGCTAGGGTGCCCAAGGATGATGGTGTTGAGACTGTTGGGACTTCCAAGTCCTAGGTTATTGTGATAGAACCTAAAGACCAACCAGGTTCTAGTCATGTTCAAGTGGGAAATCAGGTAGATGATGATCTTGAGCAGGAGGAGGTTCAGCGGGAGAATACACAGGCACTACAACAACAGCAGGTCGAGGATAGCTTGGCTTCCACTAGGCCAAGGCGAGTATACAAGCAGGTACAGAAGCTGAGGGCTGATCAACCCCTGAAGCACTATGGGCAGATTAATTTGGTTGAGTACACACTCTCAGTAGAGGAAGATGAGCCGGTCTCCTTCAAGGAAGCTATTCGGGATAGAGATTGCGAGAGTTGGTTGGCTGCGATGGAGGAGGAGATGGAATCTCTCCGGAAGAACCAAACATGGGAGGTGATCCCATTGCCCGTAGGAAAGAAAGCTATAGGTTGTAAGTGGCTGTATAAAAGAAAGGAAGATCCTTCGGCTAAGGGGTTTGTACAAAGAGAGGGTGTGGATTACAATGAGATATTTTCTCCGGTAGTGAAACACACCTCTATTCGGGTGCTATTGAGTATTGTTGCTCATGGTGATCTTGAGCTGGAACAACTCGATGTCTAGACGGCCTTCTTGCACAGAGACTTGGATGAAGAGATCTATATGCATCAATCTGAGGGTTACAAGGTTGAGGACAAGGAGAATCATGTATGTCGCTTGAGGAAGTCACTGTATGGATTGAAGCAATCTCCTCGGCAGTGGTACAAGCAATTTGACTCATTCATGCTGAAGCATGGGTTTTCCCAAAGCGATTACGATTGCTGTGTTTACATTCGGAAGCTTCGTGGAGGTGATTATATTTATCTTCTTTTGTATATGGATGACATGCTTATTGCTTCAATGAGCAGGGTGGAAATAGATAAGCTGAAATCTCAACTTAGTAAAGAGTTCGAGATGAAGGACATGGACGCTGCAAGAAAAATATTGGGCATGGAGATTAGAAGAGAGCGGGCGAATCGGCGATTGTTCTTGAGTCAGAAGGGCTACATAGAGCGGGTGATCGCGAGGTTCAGGATGCAAAGTGTAAAGTCGGTGGTGACCCCATTGGCTCCACACTTTAGGCTTTCAGGTAAATAATCTCCCACTACAACGGAAGATAAGGCACACATGGAGCGTGTTCCTTATGCTAGTGCAGTTGGCAGTTTGATGTACGT